TAAGCATCTGACTTGAAAGAAAGGTCACTCTGCATAAAGTGCTTGCAAGACCCCTTGCCTGTGCACCCTTTACTCCAAGTATTGGCCTACTAAAGATGCAGGTGAACTCTCAGATAAGAGTATCCAATGCACACTATGAAAAACCTTTTCTGTCAATGCATCTTTGCTACGTCTTTACTCTGAACTTAAGCCTAGTTGTTACAAAAATAGAAGAAACAAAGGTTTCTAAAGAAGAAAATAACCAAATACCTCTTATACTTGTGCTAGGTCTTCTAAAGCTCTTTCTGAAGCACTACTTAAAAATTACTGTGTTAGTAAGTGCTGTACTCTCTGAAGCACATTTCAAGACATTCTGATGTTAGCTGCACTCATACTTTACACACTTAAGTGATTCAAAGAGCAATACTTCAAGGTGTGCATTCTTCCCATCTTTAATGCTTGCAGCACTCAGTGCAGATAAGGCACTACACATTTTGAGTGTACTGTAAAAGGTCGAAAAAAATCATATTCACAACACTGCAGTGAGTCAGGCAGATACCTAATTGTGCTTCTGATGAGGAGTCTTCCTCCATGCAGCCCGGCTAGAAATGCACTGTATTCAACCATTTGAAATGTACAAGAAAAGAAATGAGATTGCAAGAAGAGACATGTGAATTTATACACATGAAAGGGTGATTATATTTACAGAAAACACCAAGCAGTATTTGATTATTCAGTTATCATTAGCTTATTCTTATCTTCTAAGTCACGTCACACTACTCCCTCTTTTTCCATCTTCCACACTTTCTGTTGCTCAACAGTTACTAACCATTCTTCCTATGTCTTACTCATAGAAAAATTCAGCCTCCCAGCCTCTCTTATGCCTCCTATACCATAAAGAGAAACCTACAACTACAATTGCCACTTTGCAAGGGGACATCTGACAGCTAGCACGCAGCGAGTTTGATGCTGAAAGCACAGCACATGTTGAAGACACTGATCAATTCAGCCACATGGGTGTAGGGGACTCTGCCTCTCTGCATATCACATAGATTTTTCTGCATACACACCCACTCAACATCCAGGCCTTCTTTCTTTTCCTGGTAAACAGCATGCTTTATTGCTAAAAGAAGGTAGGAGAGGGAGAACAGGCTCACAATATCTCCTGTTGAGGCTTGTAATAGAAGAAACAGACATCATTATAACAAGAATGGTTTATTCTGCCTCTACTACAACCTTGGAAGAAGGGCTTTAGATTTACTTTACTGTGTTTACAGCTGTAGTGGGTATATTCTGGAGAAAGGGGAAGCAGCACCTTTACCATTAGCTGCTTATATACCCATCTAGAGGATCAGATGAAAACCCTCCACAATGCCATACTACTTCCAAAACTTTCTTTACTATTCATCTCTGTGTGTGCATCAAAGTCACACAATAGTCAATCCAGACAAAAAAAGTCCTTGCAATACTATTATAAAAACAAACCCAGAAAAAAGTACATTGAAATCATTACACAATTGGAAAAGCTTTCCATTTCTAACAAGATAGTCAAAGCTGGCAAAAAAAGATGATTAATTTTACTTAACCTAAGCATATGACTGTACGTTGCTTCGATTACTCTGGATGTAAAAAAAACAAAAAAAAAATCTCACCACCAGATGAAACACTCTTCAAATTTCACTGCACAAGCTGATTCTGCAGTTCTGTTCCAATCTACATTATCACATCTCTTTAAAGCTACAGTCTTCTCTGAACTAGTTTCTGGACATGCAATTGTAAAGAATATTCACAAGATGTGCAAGCATTTCTTTTAAGTTACAGGAAAAGTGTCTATATGGGTCATAACTAAGAGTTACCATCAAAATCTTACAAGTGGTTTATTGACTTACCTTTCAATATGTGCTTTAAGTATTGGTTTAGAAATATATATGTTTATTTCCATGCTTATAAAATGTAATAATCACCTTTTAAGAAAGCAAACCACTTTGCCATTAAAAATAATCAATCTTTATTACCTTGTTACAGGAAATTCCAAATAATCATTATACAATGATTTTAATTTTGGAGTCAGAGAAAGTACAATTTTGTTGTCAAAACAGACCACACAGTATTTGACATTCTATGACTTCTCCGAATTTCTGCCCTGTCCTTAAATCATGGATGCACAGATATATTACATATGCAAAAATATTACAATAGTGAAAGACTATATAAAACAGAAGCAGCTTAGCTGCACCCATTCAAACATGGTACATGGTGTGAGTCAAATCAGAAACAAATTTGACTCCAGTATTTGCACACTCCCCCCTTTACTATCCTGCTAACTCTTTTGGAAAACTGCCGTATTGAGTCCTGAATATATATGTAAGTATAGACCCATCCAATTTCAGGTTCCTTCATGGGTTTTCACAGTATTAATGTTTGTGTGTAGCTGCCATCACACAGGTAAACCCTGCTAAAGTAACAACTCCACCCAGGAGCAATGTGCTTCCCCACTGCCACTATCACTGCAATGCAAAGATATGCACCTATATGCCAATACATGTCTATTTTTATATTGGACTATTCTTCCAGGCTTTTTAGCTTGGATCCTGTATATTTTACATTTGTAAATGACAGTCTTCACTGGTCTGCTGCCAATGTTCTTGGTACATTCTCTCAAATATCCTTAGAGCGAAATGAAAAAAGGCACTAACCTCCTATTAAAAACTAGGGGCTGTGGAGATAAACAGTTAATTTAAATTACATACAAACACAAAATAACAAGCCTTCCACACAGACTAGCCTTTAACTCTTCCTTATATACCAGAACAGAGACAAAGTCTTCAATCCACACAGCGATACTATACTCCAAACAACTCGGAAAGTTTAAAAGAAAGTCTCACCTATCAAACACTTCAGATATACTCCTCTTAAACACTACCTTTCTTTCAAGTATTTTATTTTATAACATCTATTAACAGGTTACATATTATCCCACATAACTGCCATAAACCTACCACTTCTCTGTACCTCACATTTTTGCTGGTTTTTTTTAAATTCTCATTGCTTGACTGATTTTTAATCTCAGATGTGCTTAACCATTCTTATTTGTTGACAAATAATTTAATATACAATATTTCAGTATGTTATTAAAAAAATGGATAAATCATTATAGGGTTATACTAAAAACAGCTTCTAAACTTCCAAGGTACAAGCAAGGAACCAGGTGCACAATGGAAAGATTCTACAGATGACAAAGCAAAACACAAAACTGTACACTCTTTAAAAAGAAAATTAAATTTGCTGTGATTTAGTAATACAGTGAGAAAATGCACTAGAATGTCTAGCAAGGGCACTTACTGAACATAATGTTGCTGCAATTTTACCTATTATCTATAGGTATATTACCTATACCCAATTAAATTCTAAGAAAAAAACCCCCAAAACCTAATCCAAACCATCACGATGACATGAGATTTACCCATAATCCATTTTTCTAACTTTCCTAAGAGCGAAAGCATAAAGCGTTACATGACTTATTAATGATTAAGCTAAAAAAAGCATATAAATTTTACTTTTGTCTGTATCATGACTTCTACTGGATACATAAATCCCTAAGTGATAGCTTCGAAGAAATAGCTTTCTAAACACCACAAAATATTAACTTAATGCATCAGAAAGATAATACACATGACACTCAGTAACTATTCAGTTTTTTAAGTATCTGGGAGCAGCAGCAGAACACTCTTGCAATTACATGGAAGATATTTCACAGAGAATCATTTTATGGTATTCACTTGCCGACTTTGGAAAAGTTAACCTTTTGAACCATTCTTAGGGTATGCTGACCCCTAAAGGTCTAAAAATACTAAACCTGATTAAGCCATTACACATTTAAATTGTTAGAACATAGTTCTCCTCTAAATTACTCCATCACGACTATTGTTGTTTTCAGAGTACATGATTCAAAAACTTTTTAACTTCACTCAGTAACAGCTCAAAATTCCATAAATTAAAAGGGGTCTGTCTATAAGGAGTTTATTTTACACAATAATATACACAGAAATTCTTTTCTATATGAAAGAAAAGCACCATCTCCAAGATGGAGAATTTCTCTTTCTTCTAAACAGAGTCTTCATGAGAAACTTGACATTTATTACCTTTTGACAGAGAATACATAGTATAAAATTCATAAAAAGGAAATACACAAGATGCTATCCAGGAGGGAAACTCTTTGACGTTGACACACCTATTCCATTTTGGATTTTTTAACCTACACATAATCACTCATTGCAAAAACTCCACCCTTAACTGAAGGTCTGCTTCCTGTCTATTTCCCTTTCTTCCTTCTATGCATATTATCTATTCACAAGCTTCCTTTTGACAATTCCCTTTTGCAAAGTTGGTCAGTCATGTAACATACTCTCAAACTCAGTGCTTTTCTGTGCTTTTTCTTTTTGCTTAAGCTTCTGTTATGAAACATAGAAGAATGTATCTGAGAACGAAATTTTGGTCAACCCAATGCAAAAAGATCCTTCCGTCCCGATGCAGATGACAGCTCCATGAACCACGGAAGTTCCAAATTAACCAAGGTACCCTTTACCTCCAAGCCTACTTTACTGTCTACCTTGAGTCAAGGTACTAAGGAGAAACTTGATGGCTTAATCATACCCTAGCCAGGAGTGAGTAGTCAAGAAAGTTGCTTTAAGACAGACCTCCTGATTTATTGTTAACCATTAAGAATGAAAGGTTGGAAGGTAAAGTGTAATGTGCAGATTAAGAATTTAAATAAGACATCTCAGTTATACTAAAACTTCTTCATAATCAAAAAAATGAAAATAAAGGTGAAGCTTTACATTCCTGTAACTGCTCTTCTGTTACCCCAAATACTTTTAAGAGGTAGTGCAAAGCTGTGGGTTTCTTTTTTTTCCTTTTCTTCCAAAGTCAGTCATGTATCAGCAAGAGCAAATACATTCCAGTCACTGCCTAGCACTGGCACAACACCTAAGGTTCCTTATTAATATCTTTAAAGTCCCTACCTTTTGACCAGTTCTCCATTTGTTCTGAATTTGTTTGATCTGGCACCGAGTCTAGTTTTTGCTTGAAGATTTCAGAGCTAAAATAAAGCAAACTCTAGATAAATAAACTTGAAACAATTTAACACACCTATACTTTGCCTTCATTTGACGGAAAACTTACAAGACAAACGATTTAAAGATATTAATAACAGGACAATAAAGTCTGCATACTTTAACACTCAGTGAGAAATTAGATTTCTCAGCAAAATATTTTTTCTTCACACAATTTTCATAATACTTTCGTTCAGCTTTCTGTTGCATGTAACACCTTTGTTTAAAATGTCAGCAGTTTGCTTTCTTCTAGAGCCTGGTCTTGGAAGCACATGTTACTGAACACAGACCAGATCACACCAAGTAGTCCTGCTAGAGGCAATCAGACTGCTCACTTCGGTAATTATTACAGACGGTGGTATGCGCTTCACTTTACAGCATTCTTTCTCTTGCTTTAATTTCCTAGATAAAATACAGCTAAAGTGGCCCATGACCACTCCAACTCTGAATTTCCAGGTCTTTCTAAACACCTAAATGATACATCCTAATATTTGCATACATATTGCTTCAGACTACAGTTAATTACACAGTTGCAGTATTTCATATAATCAGAGATCTTCAAGAAAGAACTCTCAATGCTCAAAAATAAGACCTACAGTAAAATGTTATGCCTATCTGGTATCATTTTGGATGTTAAAATTTATGCACTCTTATGTGTCTAAATTTCAGCTATATTCTGAATCTCAAGGAAATCTGAGTGAATTTGTAATCTTGCGAATATAAAGTAAGCTTACCAGAAATTTTATTACTTACTCAAGCAGCTTTTTTAACACGTATTGTACGAAGGAAAATTTTTCACCTTTAACTACACAGTTCTGCTTCTTTTGTGTGCTTTTCCTGCAATATTTTTAATAGTTTTTACATGGTTTTAATACATTTATTAAAAAGATACAACATGTGCCTTGAAGAGACAGTGGCTGGATCATGAAAATACCCAGACAGTTGTCACTGTGCTGATAAACGTAAGAGTTAAAAAAAAATTAAGTGCATATTTTAAAAGTGAAGCATATTATACCAAGACACATGTTCTAAATAGTAAAGCAGCAGAAGAAATTCTTTTCCTATACAACACCAAAAAGGTAGATGTTTTCATTTTTCTCTTTTGGATTATAAAAAAATCTAAATGTGCAAACACTTAAGATTCAACACTAACATTTACATTAAGCATTCAATAAATACATATTTAGCTCATATTTGTTGTTGACTATAAATGTGCATGATAAACAAAAAGCATAGGATTTGGTGTGCTTTGGTCTCAACAAAAAATAACAACTTCACCTCATATCGCAGAATACTGAGTTCCTTAGGAGATTCCCTCAAATGAAGCTGTACACTTCTTCAATTCTGTGTAACTGTGTTGATTTGAAGTTGGCAATCTTTTCCTAAGTTCCTCATTTACTTTTGGATTAGCTGAAAATATAGAAGGTTATTAATACCAAGAAATAGGTTTCTGTCAATGAAGCCATTTCC